GATTTTTAGTTTACAAAATTGATAAACAAACTTATTCATGTTGAGTGGTAATATTATTTGCAAACACTATGACATTATGAAATGACTTTTTACAATTACATTTCACTATTCGAGAGAGTTGCATCTAAGGCAAGTTATGTTCTACAGCACTGGGTCTATGCCACAAGCATAAAAAAAGCAGGTGGGAGCCTTTTAAACTGTTCGAAAAATCCTTTGACAATGGAAGGAATCATATGCTCAAAGTTTTTTCTGAACAATCTGTTTTTCCATAATAGAATTTATTTTGGTGCTCAGAGATTCAATGTGAAAATTTTTGCCAGAGATGAATGTAGAGAATACCCAGTGTTACATGTTAAGATATATTGTCACCATTTCTTGTTGTAAAGTATTTTCAGGAACATATGAATTAGCTATTGTAATTGATACCACAACTCAACATTCAATCTGGCTGCACCTGTACTATGATCAACTATCCATGTTTCATGATAAATCAATATGCTCATTTGATAACTATCAATTGAGCATATTCATTCATTTAATGAGCACTTAAGTTAGACTGTAGTTCACTGTGTGGATGGCACTGCTGGAGACAATAAATTTTCAAAATTTCCTGACAATAACTTTAAAAAAGTTAAAAAAGTTGCCACACCTGTAAATTAACTCAAATCAGAAAATTACAAGCAAGTATGGACAAATAGTCCAACACATTAAACTTACAAACTTTATATTATTATGCAGGAAGTTTGGAAAAAAATTTGAAGATACGAATCTAGATGGGTGTGTTTATCATGTATGTTGTATCTATAATAATTTTTATTAGTACTACAAATAACAGGAAAATATTTAATATCATATCAATAATACAAATAGAGTCCATTTCTACTTTATAACATTACATTGTTCTCCTTAGGTCAAATGAATCTGCAATTTTTGAAGTGCGGTTATTATATTGTAAAGTACTATCAATCCATTACTTCTGCAAGGCAGACATTTCAAAGAAAGTATATCAGACCAAAAATGAATTGTAATCTTTTATCGCCTTCTCTATTGCCAATTTGCCTCATTGCCATACGCAAACGCAACATATAGTGCGGTAAAAATCATTCGTATATGGAATACATGAATATTCGTCAATTGTTACTTTCCGCTGACATATCAAGAATAATATGTGGGCGCGTACGTTAGTTGACCATGATCTAGTGGCGACCATATAGAAGGGCAACTCGCAGGTGAAACGCTTGGCATATTTTCTGTGCGCATGCGTTAGGTCCGCCATTACTCTGGCCAGTAACTTGACGCTGGCGTACTATAAAATAATATTGGAAAAGTGCGATTTTGGGATAATAATCTCCTAAAACGCAAAATGTTTCGGAAAATCATGGAATTTTGTGACAAAACGTGAAAGAAATAAGGTGAGAGACCATTATTTAATTGCTGGCAGGTCCGTAAAGGTTTTTTATTGGTAAAAATTACATATTCAATGTAGGGTGTTTATTTTACTGCTATTGAGTTGTCAGTATGTTACGTGAATAGAAGTCCAGAAGTAAAATCTCTTGCGTTTTCGTCCATTCTGAATTATAAATTTCAAACTTTTGAGGTGTTTATTATAAATGTAATATTTAAAACACAAACTTGTCATAGTTTTACTTGTACCAACGCTGTAATATTTCAGGTTGCAACTTGCCAACTTGCTAAACTATAAATCAAGTTAATCAACCAGCTAACCAAGTAATCCAATGATGATTCATGATTCTTATGTGTGAATTATAACTGATAATAATTTCCAACATTCAGTTTCAAACCATGGAGGGTTTGTTTATCATTTTAAGCATGAGTGAAATGTTAATATGTTAATAGTTGGGCATTTTTAATACCAAATGTAGTTTTAGTGAGGTATACACTCTGTTTGCCTTATTTATAAATTTTGCCTTGCTGTGATTTGTGCTCTATTAAATTTATTGCCAATAGTTATGATTGATTTTCTGATATTTTTTTCTAGTTGTTATTTTGGCATTCAGTTCTCAAGTGAGGATTATGTTGCAAGAGTCTTGTATTATGTAGTTTTAGTATGTTGGATTAGATTTTAGTGGCTAGTTGTTGCAGTAGCATGTTAAACTTTGTTTGTTAAATTCTATTACGTTTTTATTATGATTGGGTGGTTTTAGTAAGGGTGCTCTATTAAACATTGATCACAATTTCTTCAGCTTAATTGTTTAGTATACCAATATTTATAGAGAAATTAGCATTTCTTCTGCACCCCCGTCTAGCTTAAGCTAGGAGGGCTGCACACCCCTCTCTTATATCCATCTCTGAATAAAGTTATCGTTAAATTTTTAAATGCAACTATGTGTACTGAATTGCTGTATTTTTTTCTGTATGTTCTATTGCATGAAATGCACACATTCTAAATTTAAATTGTTTTGTGTTAAAGATTTTTGTACACCATGTAAATCTTTAATGACAAAGACATGTTTTTAGCCTTGTAACCATTAAGAAAATATGATATTTATTATATTGCTGTTATTTTGTACATATTTTTCACTCAGAAATGTCTTTATCAAAATAAGTTTCCAATGTTATTCAATTCTCAAATCGCCCAAAGCATTGTATATTGGGTTTGCTGTGGATCTTTCTCATGTGTGCGTCTCTACTGCAACTTTTTGATTCGAGATTATAAAGTTGTACATTTTCCGTTTTTGGTACTATTCGTCGCCAGGGAGGCAAAAGTGATAACCCTACTCCAACCCATTTTATGCAAGCATCTAGAAAGCTTTTCTTCAGTTCCCTTTTAACCTGTTCATCTGGAAATTGTGACAACGACCTTGATTCTATGCTGGTTGAGTATTCCAAAAATGTTGCAAAGAATAAAGTCAGCCAGAAGAAACAGTTCAAGTCTTTCCACCTCCGCAAACACAAATTTTAGCAATTGGTCCTACTAACTACAAGAAGCCAAATGTTGTTACTAACATAATGAGGGAAAATGCCATTGCATATGTGTCTGGTTTTCTTCTAATGAAGAGTTTCAAACTCCACTCTTGTCTGAAATGCACCAATGCTCTTTCATCTACAGAACTGGATGATAGCAGAAAGTTCTTCTGCCACTTTAAAGCATTCGATGAAAAGAAATCTGATTTAGGAGGACTACAATCACCATCTTCTCCTTATCTGGAATACATCATTAAACTTGAAGACACATTTATTAAGACGTTTTCTGTCTACACAAAGAGCGAAGGTGTTGGTCGAAGTATATTAGACACTGTCAAGTCCATACCAAAGGAATTTGATTGCTGTACGGAATTCCCATTGGAGTTCTTGCAGAAACTTTTTGTAAGAATGCGCATTTATTACGCCATAAAATTTGCGAACCGCATATTCGCAACAACTAAAAAGAAAGACAGAAAGTACATTAAAGTCACACACCTTTGAGGGCTTTGTGCATATAATTTTTGGTCCTTTATAAAACTAAATTGAAAACAAAAGCTTTTTATATCACAATAATATATTTAACATGTAATACATCCAAGTTCATTTAAGTCCTCAGGACTTGTGAACCTCAGAACCTGTTCAAGCTTTACGACTGAATTTCGCTATAAATATATTAAATAAATGCATTTGTTACATGATATATACAAAATACTTGCCTCTTTATTTCAATTTCTTTCAAAAAGACGCCAAAAACAGCCAACAGCTCAAAAAATCTACATTTTAACGCACTTTACGGCTTCCACTCCATATATTTTCATAGTAAATGTTGTACACTTTACTGGCCAGAGTAATGGCGGCCGTCACATTTCCGGTATGCGCGAAACAAACTGCGCGTCACGCTTACATCAAAGGTTACCGACGCGAGTTCCCTTCTATGTATTCTAAAGAATATGTTCTATGATGTTAGACAATACATCATTGCCCTTCAGTGAAAGCTTCCCGCTTTCCACTGGAAAAGAATCTAATATCGATGTTAAACATAGATTGTCACGAGCATCCCGCTTGCCAATATGTATAAGTATAATCACAAGGTTAAATAGTTGGAATGTTATTAAACAAAAAGAATGATAGCACAGTGCTATAACCAACAACTACAAACAATAACGACCTTATCTAACAACATTTGAGAAATTAACCTTCCACTCCTCTTCCTTGTATCCAGACAAGTCTACTCAAAAGCAGAGAGCCTTATACGCTACAAGTCCCGGGCTTGTGACCGGTATAGCAGAGTTAAAAGGTGAAAGGTTTATCATAGATTAATCAACTGAATATTCCTGCTCATTTTTTGTTTGGAAGCATGTTGAACAGTTCTTTTTTCTCAAATGTAAAAGGAGAGTAAAATCTTGGACTTAACATTCTTAATATTGGTGATACAGGGAAAAAATGCAAATGTTACCATTGATTCTCTATCAAATACCTAAGGCCTTTTGAAAAAACTTCTATTGCATGTAATGAATACTTTAAATTGAACTTTTCTTTTAGGTAGATGCACAAAAACAGTATATAGCACTTGTGGAGACTTTACTAGGGGATTTTTAACTTTGCTGTGTATTATAAACACATAGCTTTCTTGCAAAGTATTCTGTATAAACATCATTTCCCTGTTGTGTACATGTCCTTCTCAACATTGAACTATAGAACGGATTTTTTGACTAACAATGTTTTTAACATTACAGGAGTATGTTTGTTATATGTCTACAGTTATTAAAGTTAAATATTGTTAAAAAGGTTTGACGTGCAAGTGAAACACCTTAGTCATTCATTAAGGAGATGAAACATCTTTGAACTCAATCTCTTACACTTTTGGGCTGTTTAGTCCAAAACAGTTATTGCAAATTAGTTATTGCAAATTTATTCAATATTTCTTAAATGTAACTTCAGGACAAGAACCCAAGATTAACAGCCAACCCAACAAAGACATTAATACATCAAATGAGTTTGAAAATATTCTTGTCTCTCCTGATGGTGGTTTGAAGACAATCACAATGAACAGGCCTGATAAATACCATGCTTTGACCCCAAAGGTTTGTTGTTAACTACTAGAAAATCATGCTCCAACAATAGACCACCTCTTCTAACCATAACCAGCCATTTATTCAATGGTTTATCTCGAACAATTGCCAGTCATACCCATTTAACAGACTACCTCTTCTAACCATGACCAGCCATTTATTCAATGGTTTATCAAGATTTTCTTCGACATTTCCACCAGCTGCTGGTTCAGTTCATTAAAAGTTACGTTTATTCAAAACCATTTGAAATATGCAACAAAGGACAAATACTCTGCAGCAAGGGGCCTGCATCTCGCAAGAAGCTGCAAGTCTCTCATCAATTTTCATTCAATTGCTTCAAGGTAGTACAATCATTACGATTATTTAAGCCTCAATACATAGGTTTATGGAGTTATAATATGTATTTTAAAAGAAGAAATTCTCGTTGTAGTTTTGTCAACGCCACAAACGAAGAATAATGTTTCCGAAGCTGAAAGCCACATGTTGTATGTACTTTGCTCATTATCACTTATTTATTAGCGGAAAGCTAAGCTGTTATGAATAGCGCAACTTACAAGATGCTTTATAATAACGAGAAAAATACAAATTTTGGAACTGAAACTGAATGTGATTTTGAGAAACGTGTGAAGATGTTTATAGATAGTCACAAAGATTTCATGCGGTTTTCATGGCTTACGAACATAATCTAAAACTGCTTGCTGTTCGCATACCTTTTTTTTAAAAAGAATGTTGAGCAGTAAAAGAAAATTTATGGTTTACTGATTGAGAAAGAAGATCTGTAAGGCTACTAATAACTTGCGGTTTCTCTTGCATAAATAGGAATGAACAACTACAATTTTAAAAGTATAGTTTTTCACAGACGGTTTTTTTATTGTGAAATATTCTGTCTTATGCGAAAAGTTGTCCATCTACAACAAAATTCGTGGTAAAAGAGATTAACCACATATCAATGCTTTATAAAAAGTCATTTTGGAAGATTAGAGAAAGCTGTTAAGGCATTGCACGGATAGAAAATTTTAAATTTTTTTTATGAATTCAAAATAGTGTAATGAGTATGAAAGAATTTGATTGGTTTTGCAATAAATTTAAATTGACGTTGCAGTTATGCAGCAACCCCATGGTGGCTGATTCTTTTGTCTATATTACACGTGTTTTATAATAAAGTGATAAGTGTCGTTGTCTCTACAGTTCGCATCATATCTATGTAAATTAAAGTAAATTTGGACTGTGAGATAATGACTTCCCACATGTCTCATTTTGCTTGCTTTGAACATAACACTTTTTATATTTAGTTTGATGAAGCAGCCATTGGCAATGAACTTTTAACATGCAATTGGCATAGAAGAAAGCGATCCGTTTTCAAACTGTGAATTTGTTAGCTTATGGAAAGTATTGGTGGTTTTCATATACGTCATGCTGATGGACTCCTTACAAAATAATATCATTGGATTCCTTTTGCTATTGGGCGACATGGTGAATGCCCTTTCTTTGTTTGTTATTCCCTTAAGACACACATGAAAACCAAGAATTGCTGTTTTCAAAATTATAATTAATGTTTGCTTGATAAGATGAAGACAAAAAGAGCGACTCGCAGCTTTGGCAGAAAAACGTGTAAAGTAAATTTGGAATGTGAGATATATTGACGTCGGACATTTCTTGTTTTGCTTCCTTTGCAACATTACTCTTTTTACATTCAGGCAATGTCAAAATTCGTTCGTTGAAGTTTGGTGAAGAAGCCATTATCAATGAAATTGAAAGCGATGTAGTAAGTTTAAATTATGTTTCTATATCTTTAAATGATTCTTGGCTCGATGTTTTCCTTCAATCATATTTAGCAGATATAATCACCAACAGCTTGATTTTAACGCTTGCTAGGGTCAGGATTACGTCTGAAATGATATTATGATAAAATTCATCTCATAAAAATCTATTGTATTTAATTATTGGTACTTAGGTGTGTGAAATGAAATCTTTGGAGTTATGTGCATCAACTATAGTTTTTGAGTTTGAGGTGCATGAAATATAATGTTTGCCAGCTAATTATATGAATTATAGTGTTTATAAATTAAGTGCAGGAAGTATAGTGTTAGTGAGTTAGGTGGATCATTATAATATTTGTGATTTAGGGGCATAGACTATAACAGTCAGGAGTTATGTTCATGAACTCTAATCTTAGGGTGTTAAGTGCAGGAACTGTAGTCTTTTGGAGTCAATGTAATATAATATGAAAGAGATGCATGAGATTTCATGAAAAATTAAATTTGCTGATGCATTGTAAACTTTGCATGTCATTATTTCATATTTTCTCATATTCTAGATCCCACATTGATGGAGTTGGGAAAGTCCCTTTACCACCTCTGTCATTCACTTCAATTAGTCTTACCAGTTTTCATTGCTCATGTGTCATGGTGATTCATGGCCAAGAATGTTTATTTGTAGTTTGGATTCTTTGTGGATGTCAGTTGTTTGTTCATATAATGATGATGGGCCCCATTATTATATGAGCCCACATGAAGGTGGTCAACTGATACTCCCAGAAGATCAACTCTGCACTAAACATTCTTTATGTGATGATATAACTGGGGTATTGAAGTGGTCCCTTTCCCTTTGCTTGAAGTTGCGTATATAAAGGAATGAAGTAGCTACAAAAGAAGATATAAAAAGTTTGGTTATAGCCGACATCATCAATAGAAAAGGTTTTGTGATAAATGATGATATGCCTCTTGCTTTATCTTTATTGTTCTTGTGAAAATATCAATTGTTTTTAATGATGGTACTGATTTTTGGCTTGTTTATTGAATGGTACATTTATGCCTTTAATTGCCTAGAGGTGCAGATTATTCAGTTTGTGGTGTAGACCTGCAATAAATACGACCTACGACTTCTTGTCACGTGTCCTAAACCTTTGATCGCTGCGGTAAACGGTCCAACAGCTGGATTTGGTCTTTCCCTTCTCACATTGTGTGATATAGTCTTTGCTTCAGAAAAAGTAATAGTATTGAGTTTATAAAATTACTCATCCATCCTAGCTGGTCTGACTTCATCTGTGTTTTCAACTGTTTAATATCAGAGTTATATTTAATATAGAAAATAGTGATTGTCTCAAAAGAGTTTTTTGCGCATACCGTCACGTCACTAACATTTAAGTCATTTTTGAGATTTTTGTGTGGAAAAAAGAAAGGAATTGATATAATTTTCAAAACAGCCGAACTTCTTGAATATTACATGTGGAAGATTTATTGAGTCGTTTTTGATTGGTCAATTTACTTCGCCAATGAATGCAATAAACACGTCAATAATGCATTCATACGAAAATCCCCAAAGTGAAAGAAGTTTATGTGGTAACGTCGCGATATTAAACCTCGACGGGTTCAGTTTCCTTTACCCCCATACTTCCCTCTTTACCCACACCCTTAATATAATTGAGTACTTTGTTCACCCCTTGTGACTCCTCAGTACAACATTACGTAATTTTTATTTCAGTTGACATATTCGTTGTGTTTTTTTAAAGCTAACTTTTCAAACGAAGTTTGTGGAGTGGGGTCATCCTCCAGTTGGATGCTGCTCTCTAACTTTACCTCAATTATTGAGTTTGAAAATCACGAGTAATGCGATTTGTTTCAAAAGTAAACCAGCAACGATGATATTTTTGATGGCATCTTAACATGGTGGACGAGCTTACAGGAATGACTTACCATCCAGGTATACTTGCGATCAGATTTATGGGACGTGCCAATATTTATTGTACAAATAGGATACTGTGTCCCAATGATCCGTTTCTAACCGTTACGCAGCGTCAATATTAGCCCAAATGATCCGTTTGTAACCTTTACGCATCGGAATTTGCAGCGTTGTTGGGGTAAATCATTCGGAACTTGAGTTGAATAACAAAACATATTCGTTCATATAACCACGATTTTTAAATTTTTACTTTGGATGAAAAAATTGCGTTTTGAATCAAGGTCCAAAACATAGCAAAAACAATTTTGCTGGAAAATTTCGAACACTCGTTCTGTATTGTCGAATTCATTGAGACTTCAGTGTTTACTGCTCTCGTAACGGACTTCTTAGTCGCAATAACCTTATTTTCTTGCGCATTTGTTGAAAAATGATGCAGTTGTTTAAAAATAAGTGTCATTAATTAACATATTGTCACGTGACATCAAGTAGATGTTTGGGCAGGTTCTTTTGTACGCTTAACACTTTGGTGTAAATGGTTCTTATCAAACTGAATAAAGTACACAGAAAGAAAATACATCGAACATTTCATAAACAGGAATCAACTTAATGTTTCAACTATATTTTTGATATGCGTGTTGTAAAAAGTCATCACTGCTTGCGCGCATTCCTCCGAAAGCCATCATTGAGCAAGCAGATCGCATTCTTTATTATTCACATCGTGAAGTTTGTCCAGCTCAGCTGAGCGAAATCATTTCTTGGACAATGAGAGCGACTGCAATGGAGAGAAGCATTGTATGGTGAAATGAAACCAAGCAATAACTGTAAAGTCCAGATTTGTGCTACCTTTGTCGGCAAAGCAGCCATGTATTTCATTCTGTTGTTAATTTCTTTTTCAATGGTGTTCAATGGTTTTCAATGGAAAATATGTTCAAATGCATGAGTTATGGCCTTTTGATGAAACTATGGAACTATGATAAAATTCATTTTTAGGGGTGGAATCCCAATTTTTGTAAAAGTTCTTTTTGATAAGGAAGATGTCTTCAAATGCATGAATTGTAGTCTTTGAATGAAAACATGAAATTATGAAAATTTCATTTTTCGCAGGAGGGGTGGACTCGATTTTTATGTAAAAGTTCTTTTTGATGTGGAGAATGTGTTTAAATGCATGAATTTTAGTCTTTTGATGAAAATGTGAAAATATGATAAAATTCATTTTCGGGGGGGTGGACTCGATTTTTTTAAAAAATCTTTTTGATATGTAAAATGTGTTAAAATGCATGAATTATAGTCTTTTGATGAAAATATGAAACTATGGTAAAACTCATTTTCAGGGGGTGGTCTCCATTTTTTTGTAAAAGTTTTTTTGTTAAGGAAAATGTGTTCAAATGCATTAATTATAGTCTTTTGATGAAAATGTGAAAATATGAACAAATTCATTTTCAGGGGGGTGGACTCGATTTTTTTGTTAAAAATCTTTTTGATGTGGAAAATGTGTTAAAATGCACGAATAATAGTCTTTTGGCGAAAATATGAACATAAAATAAAATTCATTCTCACGGGGTGTGGCCTATATTTTTTTGTAACAGTTCTTTTGATGTGGAAAATGTGTTCAAATGCATGAGTTGTAGTCTTTTGATGAAAATATGAAAATATGAAAATTTCATATCCAGGTGGGGTGGACACGATTTTTTTTTAAAAGTTCGTTTTGATGTGGAAAATGTGTTAAAATGCATGAATAATAGTCTTTTGGTGAAAATATGAAAATATGATAAAATTCATTCTCAGGGGGTGGCC